AGCTCCCACAACATCTGGCTGTGAAAAACAGTTGGGATCCCAAATGTCAGGGTAGAACTGAAGGCTATGAGAAACCCAGATGTCCACTTAAAGAGCCCATGCACAGACTTGCAGGCAATCACCCTGAACTCCTGTGGAGATACAGTGACTTGAGGGGGCACATCACAGATATATGGGGAGAGAGTGAGTTGTGTGGCTTTGTGGCAATGACTGGAGAGACAGTCACAATTTTTTCAGCGTGGAGTCCTCCTCTAATGCAGCCAGCAGGCAGGCACCATCTTTCCTTTGTTGAGCCCTCCCCACCACCCAAGGCTGAATCTGAATCTACATTGCCTGGTGAGCTCTGCTGATCCCACTCTGTTGACTCCTTGGGACCCTGCACCACACAACACACCCAATGCTAGAGGCAATTTATCAGTGAGCAGCAAGTCTCACTCACATTGCACGTTTTGTTGGACAACTTTCAGGGCTCCATGGGCCCTAGGTGGATGGAGGCTGGTTTCATGTTGCTCTGAATTTTTTGCTGAGTAGCTCCAGGCTCAGCATGGGCAGCAAACCAGAATCTATATTAACCTGGTGAACACAACTTGTCCCAACTTGGTGACTTCCTGAGACCCCCACATCATCCTACTAACATACTTCACAAGGCTTTATAAGTGATTTAACTATTCAGAAGTCGGCAGGTGGCAGCAGGCCTTGGGGTAGCATGGCTTTTTGTGGAGTTATTCGAGGCCCAGTACTTGCGGCTGCCCTCTCAGTTTGCTGTGTGGCCTCTTCAATGCATCTGCAGGCAGCAACCAACCCTGGATCATTTTGCCGCCCCATCAGGTAATCCTCAAATGGTCACCGGCAGTGGGTGATCTTGCCTGCACTGGACCCCTCCCAAGAGGCCCCAGAACCAACATATTTGGAGGTTGACTTCAGACCACAGCAGAGCACTGCCCAATTAGCCCCACAAGCAAACAAACCCAAAGGGCTGTTTTAACAGGCTCCAGAGCCTGCTGGAGCAAACCCTGCTCGGTGAGCAAGCCCCTCACAACAGCCTATAAACTGTGGACATGGCCAAACCCCACAGTCAGTCAGCCTGAGGCTCAATTTTACCCACTAGCATGCCAATAGGAATCATGGTTCAACTATAATAGGAGGATACACACAACCCACACAAAGGGACACTGCTGGAGCACCCAGCCCAAGTGACCAGGGAGACTGTGCCACTGGGCCCCAGAGAGCACCTACTACCTAAGGTCACTAACCAAGCCTGGGAGATATAGCAGATATACTTAATACATACAAATAAACACAGAGAGGCAGCCAAAATGAGGAAGCAAAGAAACATACCTCAAATGAAAGAACATGAGAAAACTCCAGAAAAAGAACTAAACAAAATGGAGACAAGCTACCTACCAGATATAAAGTTCAAAACAATGGTTATAAGGATGCTTAAGGAACTTAGTGAGAACTTCAATAAGGAGGTAGCAAGCATTAAAAAGGACATAAAAACCATAAAAATGAACCAGTCAGAAGTGAAGAATATAATAAATGAAATAAAAATGCACTAGGAGGAAATGCCAGCAGACTAGATGAAGCAGAAGATCGAATCAGCAGTTTGGAAGACAAGGTAGCAGAAAACATCCAATCAGAAAGGCAAAAGGAAAAAAGTACCAAAAGATAAGGATAGTTTAAGAGGTCTCTGGGACAATACCATACTTAACAACATTTGTATCATAGGGATACCAGAAGAAGAAAAGAGAAAACAAGGGACTGAGAACCTATTTGAACAAATAATGACTGAAAACTAACCTGGAAAAGGAAAAAGACATACAAGTCCAGGAATGTCTGAGAGTCTCAAACAAGATGAACCCACACAGGCCCACAACAAGACACATTATAATTAAAATAAGAAAGGCCAAAGACAAAGACAGAATCCTAAAAGCAACAAGAGAAAGGCAACTATATACTTATGAGGGAGCTCCTATAAGATTGGCAGGTGATTTCTCAATAGAATCATTGCAGGCCAGAAGGGATTGGCACAAAATATTCAATGTGATAGAAAGCAAGGACCTACAACCAAGGTTACTCTGCCCAGTAAGGTTAGTTCTTAAAATTGAAGGACAAATAAAGAGCTTCCTAGAAAGAAAAAGCTAAAGGAGTTCATCACCACCAAGCCAGTATTACAGGGAATGTTATAAAGAAGTGGAGCTTCTTTAAAATGAAAAAAATAAAAATATGTATACTTAAATCGACATAACTTGTATCTATCAACAAATCCTTTGCATTTGTTTAATCCAATGTAAATGGATTAAATACTCCAATCAAAAGGCATACAGTGGCTGAATGAATAAGAAAACAAGACCCTTATATATGCTGCCTACAGGAGACTCACTTCAGATCAAAAGACACAAACAGACTGAAAGTAAAGGGATGGGAAAAGATAATTCATGAAAACGGGAGCAAACAAAAAAGCTGGGATAGCAATACTTATATCAGATAAAATAAACTTTAAAACAAGTGTTATATGTTAAGAGACAAAGAAAGAACCAGTAATCCTACTTCTGGGTATGTATCTAAAGAAACCCAAAACACTACTTTGAGGGGATGTTTGCCTCCATATGTTCATAGCAGCATTGTTTACAATGGCCAAGATGTGGAGGTAGCCTGGATGTCCGTTGATGGGTGAACGGATAAATAGAAGGCGGCACATATATACTATGGAATATTGCTCAGCCAGGAAAGAGAATGTGTTCTTGCCATCTGTGGCAGCATGGATAGACTGGAGGGTGTTTTGCTGAGTGGAGTATATCAGACAGACAAAGACAGATGCAATGTGATTTCACTTATATGTGAAGTCTAAATAAAAAAAAATAATTGAAAAGAAACAAACACATAGATACAGAGAACATTTTGATGGTTGCCAGATGGGAGGGGGTGTTGGGAATGAGTGAAAAATGAGAAGGGATTAAGAAGTACAAATTGGTTTTTGCAAAGTAGTCATGGGGATGTAGGGTATAGCATAAGGAATATAGTCAATAATGGTGTAATAACTTTGTGTGGCATCAGGTGGGTACTTGATTTGTTGGGGTAATAGATGGGAAGAGTCTTGGGGGACAGGATGAAAAAGGTGAAGAGATTAAGAAGTACAAATTGGTAGTTACAAAATAATCATGGGGATGTAAAGCATAAAAAGTATAGTCAATAACATGATAATAATTATGTATATCCTAGGTGGTACTAGACTAGTCATGGGGATCACTTCTTAAATTATATAAATGTGTAATCACTATGGTGTACACCTGAAATTGATATAAAATATTAAATGTATAATTGAAAATTTTTTTTAAAGGGCAGAAAGGGAAAGGGAATTAGAGGTTCAGATCTCCACTTGTAATTTGTGGGGATATAATATACAGCATAGGGAATATAGTCAATAATATTGTAATAGCATGGTACAGTGTCAGATATTTGGTGGACTTATCATGTTTATCACTATTTTAGGTATATAAATGTTGAATAACTATGGTGTATACCTGAAACTAATATAATATTCTAAAAGAGCCAATAGTTTAGTGTGCAGAGAGAGAGAGAGAGACAAAGGGTGAATCATTATGACACAGCATTTTAAATGTAAGATTAGAGTAGAAAAAGACACCATGACAGAAGAGGATCAATTAATCTAATCAAGGTATCAAGGAAAGCTTCCTGGAGGGGGTGGACTCTTGGGAGCACTTAGAAAGGTGTCTGGCACACAGTAGATACTAAAACATTTATTGAATTAATTTTTTATAACTTCAGAAATTAAACACAGTGATTTTCTAAAAGTTGCTCAAATATCTAAAGAGGTATGGATGGTAAAGCAAAGACCATATTACATGGTGTGTGGGCCACGTGACAATGGGACACAGCTTTGTGACAGGGTGTGGCCTTGGCAACGTTGTTGATCTCTGTATGATATCAGTTCCCCAGTCTATAATACAGGGATAATAATGCCTATTTCATAGTGTTGTTGGGAAGAATACATTTTGAAAGATACTTTAGTATGGTGTCTCATATAACAAGTATTCAATAACTAACAAATACTATTACAGTCTAATTTCATAAATGGAAAAGTAATAAAGCATACAATCACATACCACAAGTCACAACGAGTGACTTCTCTCACAGCAGAAACCACTACAGGACAAATGTGTGCAGAGAACTGGGTATTGGTCCCAATCAGCTGTCCCCCCAGGTGACATTCTTTCTAAGAATAACACCATATGAATATTCAGAGTTGAGTCTGGAAAAACAGTAGGTTTTGACTAGACTGAAAACAGCGGGATGGATTGGGGAAACTACCTTGGAAAGAGGAGGATAACAAAGAGATGGAACTGGAATTAGCAGTGGCAGAGTTTACGAGGGTTTCCTAAAGGAGGATTCCAGCAATAAGGTCCTGCAGAATCCCAGTGGTGGCTTTTGCTTACCCCTGTGAGGTGTGGTTCACATCGGTGGCAACTGTTCAGCTAGCCTTTCCTCCCCAGGATCAAACTTTCATCAAACTGAAATATGTGCCGGGAAAAGCCCTCAGTGTCCACATCTGAATGAAACAAGGTCAAAGTTAATGGAGCAACAGGGACAGAGATGGCTCTAAGGACAAAATGCGAGGGGGAAAGAAATGGGGAATGAGTGCCTGCTCTCCATTTAATGTTAATCCTACCAGCACGTTCCTAAGAGTTCTTTGTTTGCAGCAAAGAATTCAGTGAGAAAATCTCAGTGGGTAGATAAATACCTGTCAAAAGCTGTACAGAATTTCCCAGGGAGAAGACTTATGTAAAAGCCAAGAGGAAAGAAAGGGGTATTCGATGTGCATTGTGGGAGAACTAGCAAGGCACCTCTCATCTCTCCAGAGGGACAGCCCCAGAGAGGGATCTGCTTTGTGTGTTTTCAAGCAATTTCCAGATGTGAGTGTTTTATTCCCTTTATGTGCAGACCTTGCTCATGCACCTCTGTTTTCTGTTTTCTTGCAGATGGATCAGCAACTCCGACTCAGTTATAACTTCTCCCCAGAAGTGGAGTTCAGGGCTGTAAGGTCACTCACCTTGGGCAAAGTCACAGGTTTGTATTCTAGTCCACAGCTTTCTAGTGGGCTTTGTTAAACTAAAAGAATAAATAAATGATTTTTATCAGAACATTTCATGATTCAGAGCTGGAGCTTCTTGCTCCCATAATATCCAAGATCTAGAACTAAGATTTCTGGTATAGGAGAAACTAAGATATAAGTGTGGCAGGGAACTGGCATTTACATCTATATTACAGAAGAAGCTGGAATCAGAAAAATTAACACAGAAATTAAGTACATTTTTTACTCAATTTCGAATTAATTTACTAATTTAAAAGTTTACATAATTTTTTACTAAAATTTACTTAATTTTTGCCTAAAGACGTTGAGGATTTGAAAACCCAATTATTGGCTTGCTCAAATCTTTAACCTCTTTACCTAATTCATCAACAATTTAAAAAGAATTGAAATTGCCTACAATAATAGTGGATTTTCCTTTTTCCTACTGGAATTTCTGTAAATTTTCATTTTATATATGATGAAGGTATTTATTAGGTCAGAGAAGATTGAAACTTCCTCAATGAATTGAACATTTTGCATATATATATATATATATATATATATATATATATATATACTGAAGTGATGTTTTTAACTTTAATTTATCTTTGTGCTTGAATTTATTTTGTCTTTTATTAAAATAGCAACTCAGTTTTACTTTAGTTGATATTTTCCCAGTCTATCTTTTCCTATATATGTTCTTCTGGTATTCATTTTTCTTTAAGTCTCATATATAATCTTATGAAAAGTGTACAGCTGAACTTTGTGATATCTCATCTGGCCATCTCTGTTTTACAAACTGGCAAAAGTAACCCCCTTTATATTGGGTTGTCAGAAAAGTCATGATGTATTATTTATATGTTTTTCATTGCAAAATGCGTCATGCCTTTTCCGACAACCCAATATTTTTGGGTTACTTATAAGGTGCAATGTGTTTCTGCTTCCTTTTTTCTATTTGTTCACCTTTTCTTGTGATTCTATCTTGTTCTTTCTTACTCTCTCAATCACAGTGCCATGCAGAAAACAATAACTGGAGGCATTTTAAGCAGGGATGAATTTAACACAGGAAATTATTTGCTTACAAAATGTTGATAGCCCTTATGGTGTAGATACTCATTAGTTTTTCAGAATGACTCCCTAAGCAGTTTTGAGCTGATTATTGGGGAGCTATCACCTATGAGGATGTCACTGATTCTAGACTGGAGTCCAGAGACCACTGTGACCCCAGTACTGCATATTAATTTCCAAGAGGAGAAGGAGGTCTCTGAAAAGTGGTGACAGAGGACAATTCATATTACCATAACTTTCCTGGCCAATAGAAACAGCTGAAAAGGCAGAACAATAACTCTGCTCTCATGACAGCCTTCCCAATTTATAAATTAGATACTCTAATTTCCAGAACATAATGTGCATCCAGAAACCTAGCTGCAGTCAGATCTAAAAATGTCCATTTTAGTTTCCAAAATGGCCAGTCAAGTGGCCTACTTCTAGATTGAATTTTATTTCTTATTCCATTACCTCCTTCTATTATTATGTTGGTGCAAAAGTAATGGCAGTTTCAGACTGTGAATTTTAAATCATTATAACTAGGCTCAAACACATCTTTATTGATCAAAATAGGAACCATTACAATCAACACATTTTTGCCAATGAGAAATACATTTGCTTATCCCTGTAATAAAAAAAAATCTGTGCTTCGGGATTCTTTGAATTCTTGGAAAGCATTTTCTGCATCCTGCTGGTTGTGGAAGCATTTTCCCTGCAAAAAGTTGTTGAGATGATTGAAGAAGTGGTAGTCAGTTGGCAAAAGGTCAGGTGAATGTGGCAGAGGAGGCAAAACTTCATAGCCCCATTTGTTCAACTTTTGAAGTGTTGGTTGTGCAACGTGCAGTCGGGCAACTTCTCCAAGTTGTCTTGGAGAAGAATTGGGCCCTTTCTGTTGACCAATGCTGGCCGCACGCATTGCAGTTTTTGGTGCATCTCATCAATTTGCTGAGCATACTTCTCAGATGTAAGGGCTTTGCCGGGATTCAGAAAGCTACCGAGGATCAGACCAGCAGCAGATGACCAAACAGTGATCATAACCTTTTTTTGGTGCAAGTTTGGCTTTGGGAAGTGCTTTGGAACTTCTTCTCTGTCCAACTGCTGAGCTGGTCATTGCCGGTTGTTGTATAAAATCCACTTTTCATTGTACATCACAACCTGATCGAGAAATGGTTCATTGTTGCATAGAACAAGAGAAGATGACACTTCAAAAATAGGATTTATTTTATTTTCGGTCAGCTCATGAGGCACCAACTTATTGAGCTTTTTCACCTTTCCAATTAACTTCAAATTCCGAATGACTGTGGAATGGTCAATGTTGAGTTCTTCGGCAACTTCTGGTGTAGTTGTTAGAGGATCAGCTTCAATGATAGCTCTCAGTTGGTCATTGTCAACTTCCAATGGCCAGCCACTATGCTCCTCATCTTCAAAGCTCTTGTCTTCTTTGCAAAACTTCTTGAACCACCACTGCACTGTACGTTCGTTAGCAGTCCCTGGGCCAAATGCGTTGATGTTGTGAATTGTCTGCTTTACAATCCATTTTGATCTCAAATAAGAAAATCGCTTGAATTTGCTTTTTGTCTAACATCATTTCCACAGTTTAAAATACATATAAAATAAACAGCAAGTAATAAGTCATTAGCAAAAAACATAAATTGAGAAATGAGCATTAAAATGATGTATAACATAACCACAGTTATTGAAGAATGTATTCCAATATCAAATGGCAAATTTCAACAATGCAAAAACCTCAGTTATGTTTGCACCAACCAAGCATTTTTATGTAGACACACTATTTTTGACTTACCAATGCAGTCACTAATTTACTAGTTCCTCACTCCTTCCTATAGTTCAGAACTTCCTACTTACCAGGTTTAATTTCCTTCTTTCTATAGTAAGTTCTTTTGAATTTTTCCTTGGTCAGGTGCTCTTTATTTGAAAATGTTTTTTATTTTACCTTTATCCTTGGAAAATAATTTTGCTAGACATGCGATTCAATATTGAAGGATATTTCTCCTCAGATTTTGAAAGAATTATTCAGACGTGTGATGGAGTGAGCTCACACTGGCTCATGAGAACTTTTACACACATCTCTGCCCAATTTTGCATTCAGTGATGTCACAATGGTAGTTTGAAAATGGCAGTTCCAAGAGTGTTTACTTGATGTTAGTCAGAAATGTTACAAGGCAGGCTTCCTCTCTGCTGGAGAGCCAGTTTTGAATCCTCAGCAGCATATCACCATTCTCTTTTATCCTTTCTTCTGCTGTGGCTGTTGAAAAACTTACTGTCAGTCTGTCCTGCCTTTGAAAGTTGTACTGACCACCCCCACTCCCAACACCCACAAGCTACTTTTAAGGTCATCTCTTTTAATGTGTTGTTTTGCAGTTTTATTACTATGTGTCTGGTTGTAGATTATAAGTATCCAATTTGATATTTTTGTTTCCTGTATTATGCACTAGTTCCTCTGTCTATGTATCCAGTCCATATGCATTTTTATTTCCATTAGTTCTCACAAATCCTTAGCATTTCAAATAATGATTTTTCTAATTCTCTCTGTTCAATTACTTTAGGCCTGCACTAGCTAAATCTTAGACTTTATCCTCATGTCTCTTACCATAGTTTTATAATAAGTTTTACTTTTTGTCTATCTTACATTCTGGTCAATTTATTGGGTTTTATATTTAAATTTCTTTCTTCATGCATGCCTAACATCCCATTAAATCTATTCAATGAATCACTTTTCATTGGTTTTCATTGGTTATGTTCTCTTCTTATTTCTAAAATATTTTGTTCTTTTTCAAGCATGCTTGTGAAGATAGCTGTTGTTCCCACTTTTTTGTTGTTTCTGTCATTTTATAGTTTTAAGTATTTTGTCAATAGTTATTGAGCATTTTGTCTCTGATAATGCCAATATCAGAAGTCTGTAGGGGCCTCAATTGGTTATTTTCTGTTTTCTAACTCTTTTATGGTAGCTTGTTCTCTTATACTGTGTGTGTGTGTGTGTGTGTGTGAGTGTGTGTGTGTGTGAGTGTGTGTGTGTGTGTGTGTAATTGGTTGACATTAATCTGAGGAACTGTAATGATCAGAAATTGGGAAGCTTTCTTCCAGGCAAGATTTGTGTTTACTTCTGCCAGGTGCCAGGGGGTACTACCAATTTAGGCTTATTTCAGTTTCTCAATTTGGATTTTTTTTTCTGAACAGACACTAAATATAAATTTGAACTCTAGGCTTGTTTGAGAGCAAGCCTCTGGTTGAAGTCTTGGCAGAAATGTTGTTACTATTAATATCATAACATATCATTTTGTTGTTATTTTTGTTATTCTTTTTTTCAATTCAGAGCCACATCAGAGGTTTTATGTTTATTCCTTTGCTATTAGGTGATTTTTTCCTTTTCTTTAGTCCACTTTTCACTGAAGCTTAATGTGGGAGTCTCAGGTTCAACATCTCTACTTGGTAAGGGCTCAAGTCTTGGATTGTTATTCTGCTCCATGATGGTTCAGGTATTTTCCCTTGATAAATCCTTAATGCTGGTATATGGCTCACTGCCTTGGTGTCATCCTCTCTCTCCTAAAAGTTTCCCCCAAACTTAGGATTCCTCTTTGTTTCCTGAAACTTAGCAAGACATTAAAATATGTTTATTGGCTTGAATGAAACAATTACTTTTTAGGGTATATAGTCTATTTTATGTCCTCTGCTACTAAAGCAATATACCTTGAGTCATTGAATCCTCATTTCAACCAAATATGAAGAATCTTGGGAGGAGAGATAATTAGGGCTGTGTGACCACAATACCCAGGCTTTTCTTGTGGCACCTGCTTTGTGTGATGGAAGCTCCAAAATCATCCTCTTATTTAAAAAGTCTTTCTCCATTAACCTCAACACTATGTATGGCATTCCTGTGGCCTTTCTGTCTTTTGTATTAAACCCATATATACAAGACTGAAAGCATGAA